GAAAAGAAATACAGTGGGGAGAACACGTATTTGATACACTGCCGATTTTGCAGATTTTCCCACTTACAAAGCATGTAGAAGTCTGTAATTTGTATCATAGGTACTCTTCACCTGTGAGTGACAGAATCTAAAAATCCAGAAAATCACATTGTATGATTTTTAAGTAATTCATTTGCATTTTATTGCATGACATAAGTATTTGATACATCAGAAAAGCAGACCTTAATATTTGGTACAGAAACCTTTGTTTGCAATTGCAGTGATCATACATTTCCTGTAGTTCTTGACCAGGTTGGCACACATTGCCGCAGGGATTTTGGCCCACTCCTCCATACAGACCTTCTCCAGATCCTTCAGGATTCGGGGCTGTCGCCGGGCAATACGGACTTTCAGCTCCCTCCAAAGATTTTCTATTGGGTTCAGGTCTGGAGACTGGCTAGGCCACTCCAGCACCTTGAGATGCTTCTTACGGAGCCACTCCTTAGTTGCCCTGGCTGTGTGTTTCGGGTCGTTGTCATGCTGGAAGACCCAGCCACGACCCATCTTCAATGCTCTTACTGAGGGAAGGAGGTTGTTGGCCAAGATCTCACGATACATGGCCCCATCCATCCTTCCCTCAATATGGTGCAGTCGTCCTGTCCCCTGTCCCCTTTGCAGAAAAGCATCCCCAAAGAATGATGTTTCCACCTCCATGCTTCACGGTTGGGATGGTGTTCTTGGGGTTGTACTCATCCTTCTTCTTCCTCCAAACACGGCGAGTGGAGTTTAGACCAAAAAGCTCTATTTTTGTCTCATCAGACCACATGACCTTCTCCCATTCCTCCTCTGGATCATCCAGATGGTCATTGGCAAACTTCAGACAGGCCTGGACATGAGCAGGGGGACTTGTGTGCGCTACAGGATTTTAATCCATGATGGCGTAGTGTGTTACTAATGGTTTTCTTTGAGACTGTGGTCCCAGCTCTCTTCAGGTCATTGACCAGGTCCTGCCGTGTAGTTCTGGGCTGATCCCTCACCTTCCTCATGATCATTGATGCCCCACGAGGTGAGATCTTGCATGGAGCCCCAGACCGAGGGAGATTGACCGTCATCTTGAACTTCTTACATTTTCTAATGATTGCCCCAACTGTTGTTGCCTTCTCACCAAGCTGCTTGCCTATTGTCATGTAGCCCATCCCAGCCTTGTGCAGGTCTACAATTTTATCCCTGATATCCTTACACAGCTGTCTGGTCTTGGCCATTGTGGAGAGGTTGGAGTCTGTTTGATTGAGTGTGTGGACAGGTGTCTTTTATACAGGTAACGGGTTCAACCAGGTGCAGTTAATACAGGTAATGTGTGGAGAACAGGAGGGCTTCTTAAAGAGAAACTAACAGGTCTGTGAGAGCCAGAATTCTTACTGGTTGGTAGGTGATCAAATACTTATTTCATGCAATAAAATGCAAATGAATTACTTAAAAATCATACAATGTGATTTTCTGGATTTTTGTTTTAGATTCCGTCACTCACAGTTGAAGAGTACCTATGATAAAAATTACAGACTTCTACATGCTTTGTAACTGGGAAAACCTGCAAAATCGGCAGTGTATCAAATACTTGTTCTCCCCACTGTATACAGAAATATTAAGCATATTTTATGTAACTTTCATATTTGTCCTGCCATGAACAATTACTGCACATGGCATTTACCTCTTAGGTCTTATTTGCATGATAGTCACTCCTGTGACATTGTCACCATGTAAAATTGTATGAAAGACTGGAGCAGGTCCCCGCCAGCGTGGCAACAGACTAGGGTGCACATTTAGGATGCCACTGAGGAAAAAACAACAACAACAACAAACAAACATAAATTATCGTTTATTATGAGCTTAGATCGTGCTGTTAAAACATTTAAAACAGCCCAAAATTACTACAGACAATCCATTTGATTAAGTCATACGCTTTCCCTGAATCCTCATTACTTACTGTGGCATTTTGTTGATGACGTTCTCCTTGATTAAACAGCCAAATGACACCACCACACCAACATCAAACTGGGCACTGAAGTCCACATCTGGCCATTGGTGAAGTGGAAGTCTGTTCTGCTCTGCGTACTTTCTGACTGGAGTATCTCTGGACAGCGTCACCACCTCAAGTGAATCTATGATTTCAGCTTTTGAGTCATCTCTAAAAAAAGAAAAGCAAACTAATAACATAAATAATGCAATAGGGTTATTAGCAAAAATAGCAATGTAATAAAAAAAAAAACTGGACATCATTACCGAGATACATGAAGCCGTTTCAATGATTCCAGTGCAAAATCATCACTTCCAAAAAACAATACTCTCCAGGGTGGTTTTGAAGCAGATTGTATTTGAGTTACAAAAGATTCGTTTCTAAGACGTGTGATGCAGTTGCTACAAAGTCCTTGAGACAGCAAACGTCCCCGATCAATGACTTTTAAATAGCTTAGGCCCCACATACTCTGATATAAGTTTTCATAAATGACAAAACATATCTTTAACACTAACAGCTAGCAAAATACGAAACCATCACTCCTGTACGGATAAGCACGCATTAGTCATATGAGTCATTCTAACATTTAATGCCAACTTCAGTCGACATAGTCTTAACATTTCTCACAATAACTTGTCCTAATTATGTTTATAATACTAATACGTTTTCGTAAACCAGTAGATGACAAGGTTACTGTAAAGCGCTACATGTACACACAGGCGTATGTGTGCGTCGCCATGTTGACTTTAACGTCATTTCCGCTACAGTTTTCCATAATAAAGACATATTGTGCGTTTATGAAAGCTATTTTAAATACAACATTTGCGTAACTAACGATTTTTTTGTACTTCAAAAGAAAAAACAAAAAGACTGTGTTTATAAAGTTGTTATTGTTCTTTCACGATGCGCGTTTTTTTATTAATGCCCAAAACATGAAAATGAAACAAATATGAACAATAAAAAACAAGACATATATCACAATACTAATGAAATAACTAAGAACGAGAGGATAAGAAAAAGTAAATAATAATAATAATAATAATAATAAATTATACCAGGTTAAACATTGAGAGCAATAAACCTTTGACTTTTCAAAGATTTTTAATTTGTCATGCCCATCAAAGACAAAACATAGGAATTATAGTCTACCAGAAGAATTGACAGTAGCGGGATCTTACCCCAAAAATTGCATTTGTGAATAAAAACAAATTGCCAAGTATCGATCAGATTAACAACTGAACATGAAATTTGTAGTTGTGATAAAGAAAAATAAGGTGTTATAATGTTCTGACTTTTTTTTTTTTGATAGGCACATCAATTATTAAAAAAAGCTTTACCAAACACATTCACAAAAAAAATGTAGGCTACAATTGTCTCTTCTACATCACAGAAAGTGCATTTATTTTCAATGTTTTAAATTGAGTACTATAGCATTTATGTAATATTTTAAATGTGACTTATTTTATCTTGTTTGTTAATAGATATTTGTTTCAGACTCCAATTAACTTTGTATAACGCCATCCAATTAAAAGATGAGCTGGAATAGGTTTTCTGTTAATATTGCAAACAAAGGGGTTTATATTGAATAATTTGTCATCAGTATTTAAAATCCCTTCAATTGAAATAGAAGTGTTACAAAGAAATAGGACTAGGTTTGCACTCCTTTCAAGAGAGTTTGTGTACCACTAGGAATGGCGTTGAATTAATACAATATTATATTCATTTAACGAAGCTCCAAAATAACATTTTCTGGAAAATTCTGAAAAGGAATAAAACTGACCATTGTCTTCCATCACAGCTCATTAACAATATAGATGTTATTTAAATACCATCTTAAAAAAAAAAAAAAAAAGAAGAAGATTTATTTATGTAAACAATATTCTAATTGTTCCAAAAAACAACAACGGTGAGGTGAAAATGCGTGTTTTGTTTTTAAATCGGTTCACAAAACCGGTCTGAACGATCGAACTGAAAACAACCGAACTCAGAAACGCAGGGACACCCCCCGACACCCACAGCCACAACCGAAAAGCGGTGCCATGGCTCGTATTTCTGATTGATACAAGAAGTTTGGGTGAGAATGAACCGCTGAATTTTGTCATTTATTGTTTTGGAGCACATAGAAAAGCTTAAGGATAACATAAAAATAATAATAGCTATCATAATAAAAGCAACAAAACTTCAAATGGGACTTAAAAAGCTTTTGTGTTAAACAATTACTGCAAATTATATAGGTTTTAAAACTTTTTTTTTTTAGCTGAATCATGTAGTAATAATTAACACTCGTATTACTAAAACGTACTCTGGAAAGAAAATGCGCGCCTACATTTTGGGAATAGGGGTTTTCAAACTGTTTCTGGAGAGCATCCCCAGCACTGCACATTTTTGTATGTTTCACGTACTGAACATCCAGCTCATATATTCTACTTCTCGGTTTTAAATAAAAGAGATATCCGTAAACATACAATAATAGCGAGGATCGAGGACGGTAAAAAAAAACAACAACCCTGTAATCATATGACTCGAAGAGAGCGCACGAGATAAAAGAATCACTTAATCTTTTTTAACCGGTTCTTTGGAAGGACCATTAAAAGAACCGATTCGCATAAATGAGTCTTCTCATCACTATTGTTTATTGAATTACATAGCATGAATCCACAAGAGGGTGCTCTTCACCAAATCAAACCCTTAAGAGAAAACAACAAATTGTCTCCAGTAGAAAGGCTGAGATAATACTGTGAATCATAGCAGAACTCTAGTGAATGTTATAAAAGTTTAATACCAATTAAGACAAATGAATTTCTACAATGTTTTCAGTCTCAATCAATAGGAGAAATGGTTCCCAATGCAGGGTCCTATCCAGATCAAGTACATATAACAATACATTAAACACAATCTAAAAAAAATATCAGGACACATTTCATCATTCCTAATACAGTATACTGAGAAATTGCTGAACTTGTTCTTTGTCCTTTGGAAAGGCAGATCAGGGGAATGTTATTCAGCTCCAAGTTCATTCGTTTTATGTCTCTGTTTTGTGTGATCATCTGTAGTCCAAATGGACACCACAACTGCAGACAGAAGGACTATAAAATAATCATATGTAGAGAAGAACATTCACATTGCTGCCTTCACAACTCAGTTTCAATCTAGAGGGCGCTTCTTTACAATCCTTACACTAGTAGAGAAATATTGTATTCGTACAGTATAAGATTTTAAAGTCATGTTTTAGCACAGTATTGATTTCACCTCATTTTGGGTCCAGGAAACAAAGTTCCTATTAATGCATATTTTATATAAAAAAGGGGGAGATGGAGAGCGAGTCAGTGAGAAACTTTGCTGCGTATAGAGTCTCACGATGTTTCAGGGGATTCTCAGTCTTGTTTGTTGCAGTTAACCATCCATTTCCACTTGCGAGTTCTCAGTGGCATCGTCCTCAAGGACCTTGGAAGGAGTGAGAGGTTCCAGTTGCGAGTCTGTGTTAACAGAATCAATTCCATCCGTTTTACAGAGAAAATCAGTGGGAGTTATGCCACCTTCACCTGGGAGGGCAGAAATAGGGCTGACAGGAGCCTTAGAGGGTGAGTGAGGGGAAAGGCTCTTGGGTGATTCCTCCTCTGACACATCAAGAGTGGCCCCCTTTTTGTCATCCTTCACCTCGTCTGGGTCACTTTTGTCAGCTCCAAGAACCTCTGACACATCCTCCGTTACGTTGTCCTCGTTTGGTATAGCTTGCACATCACTGATCTCAATGGGTTCCGTCTCATCTCTAGCCTCAGTATCTGATTTAATGGGAAGGAGTTGTTTGGAGTCATCGTGGGTTTCCAGTGACCTGAATTATGAGGTGCAAGAAAAACAGAAAAGCACAGGAACATGAACAGAGTGACAATGCTCCATTAATAATTATGAGCTGTAATATCACCTGACTGATACAAAATACTATTATCAGTTTTTTAGTTACAATAAAGAGGGCCACAAAAAGATCATAATTCACCACAAAATTCAGAAAAAAATGAATATATTTTGTATTAATACAATAAAGAATGATTTTAGGATCATTTGTAAGATTTTTAGCTTTTGTGAAATTTTCATGACAGTTATCCCCTAAATTCATTTGAAGGTTTTATTTAAGGTTATTTGTAATTCCCATAATTCTCAATGGTGATCTTCATTAAGGGGCTTTCACACAGGACGCGGAATGCACTGCGCTGCGCTGGCCGCTGGGTTCAGCGTTGCCCTTCAGATACAACGCGATTTGCGCTGCGCTATGCCAGAGCAAAGTAGGCGGAGTTTTCAAAAACCTTTTAAGCGGGAGTTCCAGTGGCGTAACTATCGGTAAGCAGGGTACGCGGTTGCTTACGGGCCCGGACCAATCAGGGGCCCGCTTGACTGGAAGATATTGATTGACAGCCGGGGCCCCCTATCGCATATTACTACTTTTAGTTTGATCGCATTTTACTTTATCACGATTTTGTTTTAAATAAATAATGACAACAACATATTTTACAGATCATTAAATACATGTGTGAAACGAACAATCATGGATTTTGGTGTAATTTGTTTTGAGCTGGGAGCCTGGGACTGGGGAATGCCCGGGTCGGCTGTTTAACGTTACATGCGCGCGCCACTTCATGCGTTTTCTCAGATCGGATAGCTACTGATTTATCAAAACTATTCCATTTACAGCTGGTCACATAAATGTGTTTTTGCAAAACAGATATAAATCCGATCTTCAATTTCCGCGCTATATGCAGATTTAATAGAGTTCACGTCACCGAAAGCAACAGATAAGCTGCATTTTATTGATCATCAGCTAAAATTTCTAAATCGAAGACCGCAATTAGAGAGAGCGGCAACAGTACTGGTAAGATCATTTCGTTTCTTTACTTTTAATGAAGATGATTGTGTGTTAAGCGAGCGTCTGCGACTTACTTTCACTTTGATTTGCGATAGTTTGTGCGTTGGCTTGATGAATAGATGCTCATCTGCGGTGATGCGTGTTGTTGCAGAAGCGTCGTCATATCTGACTATGACATATAGCCTATAACACGCTCTCACACGTTTATTTTTTAAATTTGACATATGTGGTTTCAACAACCAGATGTATTTACACTTGTCCAGTGTCGTCTGGAATGCGGCCCAGACCACCTCCTGAAGTGGTTTGAGCGACCGGATTCAAATCCGTCTCGAATGCGTTTCGAAGGGAATTTACACCTGGTCTTTTCACGATTGGATAGCTATACCTATACGATCACAGAAAAAGCATGAAGTGGCCAGGTGTAAACAGTTCCTTGCGTATTGCATGCAAAAGCCTACTCGTGGACATTGCCTCATCACGTGTTGTAGGGGGCCCGCCTTGATAATCCTGCATAAGGGCCCGGTGTTGGCTCGTTACGCCACTGGGGAGTTCTATATGTCAGTAATAAGGTTAGTTATTTTGATTGTTGTTCCTCCTTTCGGTCAGCAGTAAACTATGTATCTGTCCCGTGCTAAGAAGCGAGCGATAGCACTAGTCCTGCTAATGAGAAGAAATCAACACACGAATCATGAGCTCAGTTCTTTTTTAGAATAAAACATTTATTCAAACATTAAAGCTGACACAAAGGAACAAATTATATATATATATTAAAACACACCTGACATGCCAACTTGAATGGAGATATGTCTCCATGACACAGCTTTTCTGCCGATGTCCATACGACCTCAAACTTGTATCATAGAGCTCAGGAAATTCCGATACACACAGTACTAGCCGTTCATCCATTTTGATTTCCGTGTTTGTTTGGATGTCCCGTTTCTATTGGCCGCGCTGATAATCGTCACAGAGCGCAGCGGCAAAAATGTTAAACTATTTTGAACTTTGACCGCGGCGTGCGCGCGAGCAAGTCAATGGTGCGCACCGCTGCGCTTGCGCTTTGCTCGACGCAGCAACAAAACGTCTTCGCGCGGCGCAAGCCATTGAAATGAATGGGTTTCATAGCGCAGCGCAGCGCTTTCCGCGTCCTGTGTGAAAGGCCCATTATGGTGTGTTCACACCGAACGCGAATAGAGCGTCAAATACGCGTCTATCGCGTCTAGTTAGACGCTTGAACATTCGCTCGAGTTCAAATTTTTAAACTTGCGCGGAAGACATTCGCGGCAAACGCGTCGCCCAATTCGCGTCATTCGCAACGCCCGGCGCGAATGATGCGTCTATTCGCGTCTTTGCATTGACTTTGTATGTAATCCACTCGCGCAAATAATTAAATTCGCGTTCGGTGTGAACACACCATTAGACTGTCAGTGCAACGGAAAAAAAAGAGAAAGTTTAATACAATGATTTATTTCAAGGAATTACAACACTAATGTTCTAGAATCCCAAATCCTTTGACTGAAATACTAGTTTCCCCTTTGCATTACAGTATTGGATTTTTTTTCTTTGGCATTACAGTAATAAGAACTGGGGGCAAGCAAATTCTTTTTTATATATATTTTGGGAGGAAAAATGTTAATGACAGAAATCATTAAATTAAGTCAAACACTCAACTGACCGACATAAGTCCAAGCAAACTACACTGGGTTTTAAAGTCTTATTTCTTTTTTCCCCATGGATAATGTCAAAGTCTGTGAGTAAGTGATTCTTCCGTTTTGAAATTGATTATTTTCCATTAGAACGAGACAGAATTATTTTTAATACAAATATTCTTCCACTTCCCTTTCACAGCCACTCATAAGCATTTCTCTGTGGTCCACATTAATAACAATGTGTTCTTTAGCTTTAATTAATGGCAAAACTCCTATTTAAATTTAAGTAAGGTCACCCGGATACCACTTAATAGGCATCCCAATTACACTAATGAAAAAATAGAGATCATTTTTTATAATAAATGATATTTCCAAACAATTCATAGGTCAGGGGGTCTGTATTCATACCCGTTTCATCAGAAAAGGTAATTTGTCTCAATCAGGCAAGCTACACTTCCCAGTCTATTTTTACTCTCCTCTTTTCACAGCTCTAACCTCTACATTTAACAAAAATACAAATAAGCATATGGTGTCATTGTACACCAATACATCATGCGTATAACAATTACAGCATATCAGAACGTTGAGAATAACACAACTAACTTTTTAAAACGGCAACACTCTACAGAAGCACTGAAGGCTTGAGTAGTCATTGGCTAGTATTTTTTTTATTATAGTTGCCAGACTGTTTACATGGAATGCAAGAAGAATGAAAAAATTCAACATAATATAAATAGAAGTATAAAATAGAAATTTCAAACACTATTAAAGTCAAGTAAACAGTCTGTAATCAAATAAGTACAAATTATCTAATGAGCACAAATAAACAATAGAACAAAGATGCTAATTAAAAAAGCTGTGCTTTTCAGATTTTACAGGTAGTTAGATTAGTAATCAAATGTAAAACAACACTGCATAGTCTTCATTGTCTAAATCAAATATAGATGAATCCTTATTAAAGTTACAAAAGTTATGCAGTCAAGAGCATTGAGTGATTTTTTGCAGTGAGATTGTAGTTTGGTTAACATTAAAAACAGCAGCAAGAATATTAGGCTGCCATCACTAAGACAATGCACAGATCCAATAAACTGATACTGTACACGTGCATTCACTTTCTCAACTGTTTACGTTCACTTAAGTAATAAACGACTAGGTTTACTAGGATACTCGCCAATATGGAAATTTCGACATCATTTTGTGTGAAATTGTCCGTTCAAGCACAAGACTTTAAAGAGAGCTTAATTCAGTATTCACGTGCTGTCAAGATGCACCTTTCTGGGCGCGCACTTCGGATGTGCAGTTTGTGCACACAAATTCTCACAGTGCACTTAAAAACGTGTGCAAATGATAAAACTTCATGACGACGCAGCACTGGTCCGAACGGGACGGTAGGAGCGTTTCCATTACAGATTTGCGTAAAATCTTTGCGATTTTTTCTAAATGTCGATAAAAAACTATTGCGAAATGACGGCGTTTCCATTAACCGATGTTATGCGACTAAAACGTCTTTTTTTCCTCTCGCGATAAGTCATTCCAAAAATCATGGCAACGGACGTTGGTAGGTTTATAGCCTATATTACAGCCACCGCACTAAACATTATTATTATTAATGGAAGGAGACGTGGTGGTAATGGCAGGGAAAGACCCTTATACTGCAAACGGCACATAGCCTAAGGAGTTTCTGGGTGTTTCTCCCTCATTTCTGCTCCGAGGTCCTGATTGTGGAATTTTTTTGAGTTTTAGAATCCAGTATTCCCATAATTGTTGTTTCTTTTATGAATTTAATAAAGAACTATGTCTCGTATTATGTCCAAACGGTCAGTGTACTTTTGTGTCCATTCCTTTTTCCTTATGTAACCCGTAATTGCAAAACGAAAAATTAACGGTTGTTGTATTTTTAAAACGCAAAGTTGAACACCAAAATTTTAATTTGAACTGTACACACCAAAAAAAAAAAGAAAAGAAAAAAAGACGAATTTTCAGATTTTTGTTTATGACTATTTGCACCTTTATTAAAAATTTAAAATATTCACAAATTATTATAATTTTTTTTTTTAAGTAGATTTTACTGGTTTTCTAAGGCCAAATTAGAACCTGGAAATGATATTTTTCCCGCAGTGCTGCATGAGAAGAGCCATAACCACAGCCTACAGAAAGGTGATTTATAGGCTATAATAAATGTGTCGGCAAAAATACTGAGGCATTTTAATCATTTATTAATAAACTATTGTTTTCTAAATCAGTGTCGGCTAAAAACATATCTCCATCTCCACTGTAAGGCGGATGCGCCTTTAGAGAGAAATGCACCTTTCATACGGATTACATAATCAGAAGGTATTAGCTTTCGATTCGAATTTGTTAGTTTTAAAGTGGCGATTTCAAGCTTTAGCTTAGGCGATATTTTGTTTCAGTTCTCGCGCTTCAGTTCAAGGAGACCATGAAACCGCGCCTGATTGTTTTAGTTTATTTTACAAAAGCACAAAGTTTTCATGTTATTGTGAGTTTACACAAATAAAAGTAGTTGCGAATAATGTATTATTATTTTCTGTATGACCAGAAATGATAGAGTATTTTAAGTTGTTTCCACTGTTGATAGGAAAATTGAAGTGTGCGCGCCCCCGCGCTCCCTGCCATGCAGTGCGCGCTCCACACTCGCACAAACACGAATGACGTGACGAATTGCTTTGTTCCTTTTTTGGATAAAATCGTCTTCTAAATATGTAGCCTAATAAATGTTATGATAATTATTTGCGGACACGGACCCCAAACACAAGGCTTCTTTCTAAGTCAGGTGACTGTAAATGCGCAAAAACTGTTTCCATTGCAGTTTTGCGAAATATTCCTTTTTCGAATTGCCTGAAAAACCACCTCATGCGAGCGTAAACTTTTTTGCGATAAACGAGAGTTTTTGCGAAATGGACGTATTTCCATTGTGCGTATTTTCAATTCGCAATTTGAAGGGTAATGGAAACGGCATATGCTCTCTTTCTCTCATGGTGATTGTCTAGTCAAATACATTTTTTAGTCGATTTGGACTCATATGCGAGTGATTTACCCGCATTGAAATAAACAAGATTTTTATTACAATACATCTTAATTACATGCCATTAACAACTGAAAAACTATACTAAAACCGCTGATAATACAAACAACTTTCTCACCTGTTTATTTCTGATCCTCCATTGGTAACTATAAAGAAATGAAAATAGTATTTAAGTAAGACAATCTGACATCACAAAGAGAATATTTCCGCAGCGAGTTGAGGGTTGAGCATCATACCTGGCTCCATGATGACCTGGCAGGAGTGGTTTGGCCTGCTGAGCAAATGTTCGGTCATCTGGTCAGCGCCAGAGGCATCTGCCAGAAAGTCACACTTGAGACACACCAGTGTTAGACTCCTTGAACAAAAGGGGGAGGAAAAAAAACTTTCACTTTCAGCAAGTTCATAATACAAATAAACTGTAAACTGTGATATAATAGATCAAAACTTACCGCAACCCACGTGGAGCCTTCCTCTCTTTGCCAAACCGTACTTTTGAAGAAATGCTGTGGAATCTGCAGTTGAGATGGAAAAGGTCTGCTAAAGATCTGATCACATTTATTTGGAACTGTCTATTCATCCATGTTTTCCCCTTACCTGACCATATGCTGTCTGAAGGCCTTCTGGCAACTTGATCTAAACTTGCATATAGTGCACCTCAGCGATAAAGGATAATGAACGTAAGGGTCCATAACCTCTGAGAGACACTCGACACACTTATGTCCTCCTCTTGGAAGTCTGTGAAGAATAAATACTCATTAACATACTTTTTAGCATATAGGCTGTGACTCTATTTTAGTATAACACATTTATTATACTTCGTATACTTCCGTTGCTACGAGTACGCTAGGGTATGCGTATGTGCCGGAAATTTCATTATCAGCATAGTATGCATGTATGTATGTACATAGATTTTTCTAATCACACATTTTCTAAATGTGCCTTCATTTTTTTGGCACTAAATAGTTGGTCCACAAGGTGGCAACACTGGCCGGGACCATTGTTTCACATTAAAATAAGAAATGGAAGAGACTGAACAATATTGTAGCTGTTGTCTGCATTGACGAGAGCTTGTGTTGAAACAGAAGTATACTTTGTGCTAAAGAATCCTCACTTCAAACGTTTAAGCTCATTATTGTGGATGGTTCGGTTAAAGCTGAATTGGCTTGTGGTCTTTGCCCTTCCTCCATTTAAGTTTGGTTTGGTTGTGTTTGCTGGTGGTCTGACGGGTTGTTTGGCCATTTCAGGACTTGTGGGTATGATGTAGGATTTGCTTGAAACATCAGAACACATTGGTGCACCAGAAACTGAGGCCCGAATTGTCACCTAAAAAGATAAAATAATGCTAATGAGAAGGACTAATGAAAAGTATAATCCCAGATCATTCGTGATTATGTTGTTTATTATACAGTTATGTTATACAGTCTATATTATATAGTTATTTAACTTCCAATTTTAAAAGATTTGGTTTCAAGCAGACCTTGGTTCCTGGAGGCAATCCTTCAAGGTTTCTTGGCTTCCTATAGGTTCGATGGAAGTGTGTTTTGTGTTCCACTTTTTCCTTGTAGGTGAGGAAATTTAATCTGCACTTCCCACATCTTTGAATCCCCTTTTTCTAGAAAACACAATAAAAGAACACAGAACATATAAAAAAAGTTAAGTGTTAAGTTGCATTCAACAATTAAATTGTCAATTTAATTTTGATGTGATTTATTGCTAAAAAAAATTCAATGAATTGTTGAAAAAAAATTATATCTGAATTTTCTGAAGGTTTGCACTATGTAAAAATATTGCACTTTTTTTGGTGTACTATCTTGCTTTATCTTGCTCTTAGCCGATAAGACTCGTCGTTAATCTGGATTGCTGTTGCCTGGGAGAAGCCCATAAGTAAAAAACAGGGAAGGTGAATAGAGTAGGCTGCTACTGTCAGCCTGTTATATATTGCACCAAGTTGTTCGGCAGACAACCAAATCAATCCAACCTTAGAGTGAGAGCCAATGGGACAGCACACAAATGAGTTGCACATTGTGCTGACTTCAGATCAGTGAAGTCTCAAGCTCCAAATACACAGACAAAGAGACAGATGATGTCAAAAAGACTCATGTACACACTCTTTCGTTTAAATGATTAAACAAGGAGGCAATAAATTCATTTCCATATCCATACAAAACGCAAATAGAAGCATACATATGAGGTTATACACTCACTTGATGTCTCATGTAGTGTTGCATATACATATGGCCACTGCGAAGGACTTTCAGGCAAAAGGGACAAAGCAGGTCTTTAGTGTTTTCATGAACTGTGCGGAAATGGTTATCCACATCAGAGAAGAAGGAGGACCTGTAGTTACAAACCTTCAAGAGAGCAAAAACAAAGTGAGAACCAAGTATTCGAAATACAAATTACATAGAGCAATGATGAAGCTTTACCTGACAGGCATAGGGCATCTCTCCAGGTTTGTGATTGTCCCTCATGTGCTCTAGAAGCACTTGCTCCGTCTCAAAAGCCAATTCACATATTTTACAGTTGGCTGGGGAAAGAAAAGATATCACTACACTTAAAATATATCAAAACCATCAAAGTACTCCCCTCTGGTGAAATTCTCATTTCAATTACACCATAAATGACTATTTTAACCTAACCTCAAGTCCTCCAGGAAAGTTCCTACTCAAGTTTGAAAATTGTAATTACCAGTATGTGACGTGATGTGTGTTCATGTGATTTTTGACAGAATTTTTTTTTCATAGCTTTGTGAGTGCAAAAGACTGCAATTGGTGTGAAATTGATATTTTATGTATTTTATCATTCTCATTCAGCTACAAAGAATGGAGAAATGTCATTTTGTAGCACAAGTGTTAGCTAAACAACAGTACTTCCTTCCCTCATAATGCCAGGCTGGTCCACTTTGTGGCTTAAGGCCTGTTCACAAAGTTTCAATAATTATCTTAATTCCATGAGAATAGGAAAATCCACACCACGACTATTATAACATCACAGAGGATTTGCTCTTTGCAACGCAAAGTAATGCTCAACACATCACTTTGCGTTGGTGTGTGGACACTAATATACTTATAGTTATTGTTATCTTTATCGGTGATATGATATGAACTGGCCTTGATTCTGGCCAAGAACCACCAACTTAACAAGGAAAACACTTAAAAGTGTTGTGACTTACTGGTGGACTCAAAGGGACTGTGGGCGCTCTCTATGTGGCACTGTAGTTGAAAGGGAGTTGAATACTGCCGGTAACAGTGCTGACATGTAGTGTGACTCTCCCAGCTCTCACTGTTCTGCTTCTCCAACTCCAGGTGATGTTTCATGTGGTTCATGAACCTGAGTGAGAGGGAAAAGAACAGATGACAAGGAGCAAAGGATGGCATTACAAAGAGAGAGGTCCAGATAAAAGAATCCTACTAGCTGATTCACATCTCTCAGCGGGTGACCAACTCCCAGCTAAATTATTGGCCCTGTCAACCCTGCAACTTCTGACACATTAAAAATTATCACTGACAGCGGCAATGACCAGGCGTTTTGCTCAGTGAACACAAAGCAAAATACCGCAAATGCTGTACATGGATGGTGATTGTGAAATGGTTCTCTCATTAAATGACTAATAAAATAACTGAAGCTACAGCTTGTAGATATACAATCACATTCACAGAGTAAAGTCAAACAATTTTTTTCAAGTTTCGATTAAGTATGTCACCTCTCTTCCATTCTTATTCTAAGTGTGTGTGCAGAGATTTCTTAAAAAAAAAAAAAAAAAAAATCAGTAGGCGTGCCACCGCAACCACAATTGGCTTGCAGGATGCCTCAAGAGACAGTAAGAGTGAGAAGGCATTGGGTACACCTGCAACCTGTGACATTAATGACACTCTTTAAGGTAAATGCCCTGCTCCACAAACAGCTGCTGTCTGGGGAGAACTCAGTCTGACACAAGCGGGACCGCCGTTGACAAAGGTGTGACGACTAAACAGGAAAGCCTTTGATGTGCAAGGAAGTGAATGTCAAACAGATGTACAACATTCAAACAGGTAAACCACCACAGTGTCTGCTCTCTCAGGAGTGGAGTTTCCTTTTGCTTTTTCAAAATGTATCTAAAAATAAACCCATTACATCCTCCGAGAATCATGCCGTTTCAGATGTTGCAAACGAAGTTCTCATCCTATTTTTGAAACAGGTCATATTCCAGCTTTGTCTACAGATTACACTAGATTTAAAAGATACAAATGAGCAGTACATGAACTATCCACTCATCATAAACCGTAATTCATCAAATACATCTGAAGGGAAGGGAAAATGCCAAAGTTAAAGTAGCTAATGTTCAGCGCCATTGGGAATACAAAATAAAACTCATGCACAGTTAAATATAATTAGCCAAATTACAAACATACGCTATTAAAAGTCACCTTTGAACAGTGCGAGGCCTGTGCGTGTGTACTCAAGAAGCATTTGAGCTCCCAAGGGTTTTCGAGAGACAAATGAGCAAATATTCTACTTAAAGTTCACGTTCTAACTGTGCATAATAGCCATTATAATCCCAGCAATTATACTGCTCTGCTTCTTTATTTAATGATGTGTTGTTCAGGCTGCCTCTATTCACACTGCCTCACCTGCCATTGGTGCCCTGACGTTGAGCAGCCAATTTTTCAGTCAGCGCGTTCTGCAACCTCAGCTCCCCTAATAGGGATTTTTATGCGGCTGAACTGTGACCCCCGCCGCCAGAACTTGGGGTGCGCTGCAAACGCGCTTCCCCATTAAAAGGAGCTTACTGAGGCTTTTCTCACGCCGTGGCTGAGTAAAGTTATTTAATCACAAGAACAGTTCTTATAGCAGCCAAACTACCTTCCATTATTCATCTGCGGCCCCTAGAGGGAACGGGGGTCTGATAATGTCATCCATCTGAATGGGAATCCAGTGATGGGGTCTGAGAATGGCTGGTTCCCCCAGTTTCTCCCTCTCTCTCCCAACTATTGCTCTCTCCATCTCTGGGCTCCTGTAGCTAATGACTCTCATGAGCAATGTTCCCTCTGAGCCGCATGAGTCACATTGTTCCCGCACAGACCAAAACAATTATACAAAGAAATCAGATTGAAAAAACCTAGGATTTCTTGAAACGTTTTCATGTGTGACAAATTAAATATCATCTACCGGGACTAAGGTCTATAGAGATTCAACCATCTCAGCACCAGACTTGGCCACTGACTGATTACAGATGGTTCTTCAATAACATGTAATAGTGTTATAATGGGTTTTTTTTGTTTGTTTTTTTAACATTCAAACAAATACCTGATATTGTTCTTTAGCATTTTCAAACAGCTGTTGCACTTGAATGTGGTGTTGGACTTGAACTTGGAAATCAGAGATGAATCCCCTTCACATTTCCCATAGTAGAAGTCTGAAACCAGCATGATCATTTTGCCTTTGTCAGTCTCAATGACTTTCGGTGAATTGGCTTGTTTGTCAGGCTTTGATGTAGAGGGGAACACAGAATCCAACAATTCAGGGCAGCAGATCTGAAGAAGAGGGGGGGAGAAGAGAGTGTCATAACATCTCAATACTGCATATAGTGTTGGTTGTAATCCATTACTAAGTTATTCAATTACTTTTCCCTTGCAATAAAGTAAGGGATTACTCTTATTTTTGTAATTTAATTACAGTTACTTGAAACGTAATAGCATTAAATACTGTATAGACTATAGAACGGTTATCTGTAAAACAATAATGGATTTAACATCAAAATTTAACATATAATGTTAAAATGTATGTTTTTAATGTAACCTCCCTTAAAAAACTTTGGTGAGTTTATATTATTTATTTGATAGAATTAAGAACAGTTTCAGGTCTATCCTTGTATTGTTCAACTGGTCGAGGCTGATATGGGATTTAGAAAGTAATGCATACTTTTTAGAGAGTAATCAGTACATTAATCTAATAGGCTATATGCACGCATAATTTCCGCATTTGACGCAAGGATGCTCGTCAGTTTCCGGTTGGGGAGATTAAAGCGGAGGAAAACGGAGGAAAACGGGATTATGGCAGAGTCTTCAAAATTTACTGTCCTCCCGTCTTTGAAACGAAACTTTCATACGTTTAGATGTAATTTTATATATAGTTATGTTTATTTAATATAATTTTAAAAAGAAGCATAAACACAACGAGGTGTGTCTGTTTTGTCCGTTTTTGTGACTAACGCTTCTTTAGTATAACCATGGAGTATACAATTAAATATAAATTCTCGGTATTGCATTGGACTCTATGATCGGCGGAAGTTATCGAGCATCCTTAACCTTCACCGGAAATACCGCCGTGCATAGAGCCCATTACACCATTGAAGACGTAAATAGTAGCTAGTAATTAATAACTTTTTTTTAGAGTAACTTACCCAACACTGACTGCATTTCCTCTGAGGGATCAATAAAGTATATCTGTCTCTACATAAGGAGGTGGCAACTTTTTTGATATTAGGTGCCATTTTTAACTTTCCTATGTAATCAGTCATCAGAGGCTCAAACATGCATGCTTTATTGGTTCTTGTACGTCAAGCAACTAAGGTTAAGCTTCAGTTTACCATATTTGATAAGCGCTATGTATGTGCATTGATCAAATGTTTATATGTGAAAAAAAAGCCTAAATTAAATCTCTTCATTATAGAGTCTATATTTGTCTCTTCAGAACACTTGGATTAAACTGCTCGATTCATATGGATTACTTTTACGATGTCTTTATATACTTTTTGAAGATTGAAATCGTTGACCTTTTAATGGATGAACAAAAATTGAGAGAATATTAAAAATATCTTCATTTGTGTCTTATGGATTTGGAAAGACATTAGGGTGATGACAATTTTCATTTTTGGGTTAACTATGTCATAATCGGTTATTAATATTTAGATGTAGCTCAGCCTGATTTAACTCAAAGCTGTTGTTAATACAGAAAACAAAAGAAGATAGTAAACCAACCTTCATGTGACTTTTTAAATGCTGAAAGCCAAACACATTTTGACACCTAGGACATTTCTTTCTGGCGGAAAAATCATTTTCTCCAGCTGTCAAAGAAGGAAAAAAAAGATGAAAAGATGAAAAGATTGTTGCTTCTGGAAATCCTGTAATACATAATGGCTAAAAACCCATATATGTCAAGCTTACCTCCTTTGGACACACTGTTGTTTGTGTCATTTATCCTTGTGCCATTATCTGTGGGTCATAAAAAAAAAAAAGAATTCCTACACACAACCTGTCACACACAAACTTCCTCTTTCAAAAAATCCCCCAAAAGGCCTCTGAATTTTCTAATTGTTTTTGGTGTATTGAATTGATTTTTTTTATTGAATTGTAGCAAAGCGCATGGACAACAAATAAATCCCATTTTGTTGTTACTTTTAATTGCAGTGGCTCAATCATCCAAAAGTTATGGTGGGTGGATTGTATTTTCAAACCTTGGTTACAACCTTTCACTTTGGTAAATAATACACGAACCTAGAAACACTGATACAGGACATTAGAAAAAAACATTCCACAGCGGTATTCCAAACATACACACACACACAGACACACACGCTTACCTCTACTGTTCATAGGTTGCAGGGATAACGTTTTTTGTTTAACTAGTATTGGGGTGATGGCTGGTGTGTTTTGAGAGATTGAAGTAGTGTGGGATTGAGAAGAAAGGTTAGCTGGGGCCTGTACGTTGGACAAGGTCACCACATTGTCCTGGATGAGCTGCACTTGAGGCCTGTGAATGACCCCTGGCTTTGGTGCAGCACTGACCTGTGAAACTATCTGCTGACCTGCTGCTTGGGAAACAAACACACAAAATACATAATCACATACCAATTCACCTCATTAGCATTCATCAAACAATCCTGAATGTATCACAGTTTCCACACAAAAAATATTAAAGGGTTAGTTCACCCAAAAAGGAAAATTCTGTCAGTAATTACTCACCCTCATGTTGTTCCAACCACTGATCTATATAATGACTGGATAGCTCATGACGTTCTAAACTGCCACCAGGCGGTGAAGCCACCGGAAGTGTTCGAGCGGCCATCTTACGATTCCCTACCAGCAGAGGGCTCCAACGGCCGTTATACAGAGATCGGTAGCTCCAACGGCACTTTTAAGATGACCCGCTGCGCATCAACAAGTGTAAAACGAAGATCACAAAAGGATCTTGAAAAACTCCTCACAGGTTGTACTTTAAGCCCATATATAGAAATTGATATGTACAATTGTCGCTATTTCCGTGTTGTTTAAAAAAAAAATTATAGCCTACTATGCATTCTTTCACAGACGTATTCAAGTTTAAACCCAATAAACGTATTATTCAATGCATTACTTCTTATAAATTTAATTAAATGCATATATTTAATATTTTCATGTCAATCCGTGTTCAGTTTGACCACGAACCATGCGATGTCACTTTAATTCAGCGCCAGCAGCACAAACGATCTCTGCACGCACCGCACAGGACGGGCATCCGCGTGCAGTGAAAGCTCCAACCTGTTGACATGGCGGGTATGGTAAAAAATATGCACTGCAAACGGAGTAGCCTATGTGTAAACCCCTTATTTACAGTGCACACATCTGCGGCGCATTATGGCTCCGACAAGGTTTTATTCCTACCTTCACGCGGTGTCAACTCACAACGGGAGCATTTCCACGTAATTTGCCGATTTGTGGGCGCGATCAGCTCCGGTAGCCGTGTCGCAGCTGTAAACGCGCCGCAGACGTGTGCAGTGTAAATAAGGGGTAAATAAGAGGTGAAACCGGTGTACATTAACCCATACAATTTGTATTATGCATTTCCTGGACATGTTCTTGCTAACTAATCAAATACTTGAACAGACTACTGATCTATCTGTAAAACACAATCAGAAAGAGCTAAATTTTAAGTTCACAATTCACATATACTTAATTTTTAGTAAGCAGGAATAATTTCCGACTTTAAACAAATACCCATTTAAATGCTTAGGATGTTTGCGTTGTAAGACTGTTCAGGGAGACTTTAGATTTAAAGACTCGTGTCTCGTTATGCAATGTTTTCTCAGTCAAATCATACAATTTCCTATTGATTCAATAGAACGCGTGAGCTCACTAGGGAATCACAATATGGCGGCGCGGTGGCTTCACTGTTTATGACGTCATGAGCTATCCAGTCATTCTATATAGATCAGTGGTTCCAACCCCGTAAGACCTTCGTTCATCTTCGGAACACGAATTAAGATATTTTTGATGAAATCTGAGAGCTGGATCACTCCTCCATACTAGTCCATAGGCTTCTTCAGGAATTGAACTTGCCGGCCTCGAAAAGTTATTAAAGACATCGTTAAAATAGTCCGAGTGACTACAGTGGCTCAATCTTAAGTTTATCAAGCGACGAGAATACTTTGTGCGCAAAAATAACGACTTTATTTCAACTATTCATTTCCTTCTCTGTGGGCCTCGAGTCAGTTCACTAGTGTAATAGCGTAAGCTTCTGTTGTTGTACGTCACACGCATCACGCACATGACCAGCATCGGCCAATAGTGAGCCTACGTGTGACGTAGCTCTACGGAATCACACTACGTTAACTGACTAGAGGCCCAAAGAGAAGGAAATGAATAGTTGAAATAAAGTCGTTATTTTTGTTTGTTTTTGCGCACAAAAAGTATTCTTGTCGCTTGATAAACTTAAGATTGAGCCACTGTAGTCACTTGGACTATTTTAACGATGTCTTTAATAACTTTTCGAGGCCGGCAAGTTCAATCCCTGAAGAAGCCTATGGACTAGTATGGAGGAGTGATCCAGCTCTCAGATTTCATCAAAAATATCTTAATTCGTGTTCCGAAGATGAACGAAGGTCTTACGGGGTTGGAACAACATGAGGGTGAGTAAATACTGACAGAATTTTCATTTTTGGGTGAACTAACCCTTTAAGCAGCACAACTGTTTTCAACATTGAGAATAAGAAATGTTTCTTGAGCACCAAATATTAGAATGATTTCTGAAGGATCATGTGACACTGAAGACTGGAGTAATGATGCTGAAAATTCAAATAGAAAACAGATATTTTAAATTGTAATCAATCATATTTCACAATATTACAGTTTTTACTTTATTTCTTATCTTGGTGAGCATAAGGCTACATTCGCACAGCAAGCCTTAGTGCTCAATTCTGATTTAATGCTCAGATCTGATATCTTTGTGTGGCTGTTCACATTGTGTTTTTAAATGTGGCCAAGATCACATTTAAGGTCAGAGACCCTTTTCAAAATCATTAAAGGGTTAGTTCACCCAAAAATGAAAATGATGTCATAATTTACCTGTAAGACATTTGTTCATCTTCAGAATACAAATGAAGATATTTTAATGCAATTTTAATGAGCTTTCTGTCCCTCCATAGACAGCTACACAACTACCACTTTGACGCTTCAAAACTTTCATAAAGAGATCGTAAAACTAAATCACATAAATTGAGCGGTTTAGTCAATTTTCTAAAGAGACACGATCGCTTTATATGATGAACAGATTGAATTTAGGCTTTTATTCACATGTAAACACTTATCAACTCACACATCAGTTGTGGTAAACAGATTCACTTGCATGTTCACTTGATGTGCGAGAACCATTGAGGTTCATTCTTGTGTGTTATGCAGCAGTTTGAGCTTTAGCAAGAACCAATGAAGTTTGTTCTCTCGCCTCAAGCTGTTTTTGTTCGCTAATCAATGTTTATGTTAAAGCCTAAATTCAGTCTGTTCATCATATAAAACAATTCAGTCTCTTCAGATAATTTGGACTAAAACGCTCAAATCCTATGGATTAGTTTTATGATCTCTTTATGAACTTTTTGAAGTGTCAAAGTGGTAGTTTTGACACTAGAATGAATACAATAGAATGTAACTATTGAAAGCTTGTCATTTGAATGCATAAAGCCTTGCGATTTAAAAACAAGTGGTTTTAAACCATTCAAGCCAATCAGCAGCAAAAGAGAACTCATTTTGTTATATGCTGCTGCTCATACATCACTTGAGTACTTAGGTGACAGTTTACCCAAATAGCCTAAAGTAAATCTGTTCATCATATAAAACGATCGAGTTTCTTCAGAAAATTGACTAAACCACTTAATTCATATCGATTAGTTTTACAATCTCTTCAAGGCTCAAAATTGCGACCTTTTTGGTTGCATATGCTCCCGAAATTGAATCTGTGTGACCGCAATTTTTGTGGGGGCATTTGTGCGAGTGCAAATAATTGTTGTGGTACAACCTTTTGTCTACAGATAAACTGACGGTTTTTAGTTTAAATTTGTCAGATCTCTATTCTGGACTTGCACACAAACGGCATTGCAATCATTTCTCAAAATGTAAATTGTGTGAAAATATTACAAAGTTTATTATAGGGCTGTCACTTTTGTGAAAAAATCCTGTTCGATTTGAGACATAAGTGTTCATTGAATCGATTGTAAAATCGATTTTCCATGTCTAAAGACGTTTCCATTTTAAACACCAAATTTAGGCAAATCCACGGAGAACTAACAAACAACTAAGGCATTAGTAAAGAGGGCGCTTGAGACGCGCACAAGTATCTTTTAATACATATTAGTTGCGATGCTCCTTAATTTTTAGTGGGTGCTCCTAAATTTTTGCTGGTGCTCCTAACTTTTTGAAGTTGGGAGTGCTACCAACCAGTGCTACCAAAAAAAAAAAAAAAGTTAATTTCGAGCCCTGTTCTTCATGAACTTTTTGAAGCATCCAAGTGGTAGTTGCGTACTGCGTAGCTGTCAATGGTGGAACATAAATCTCTCAGTTTTCATCAAAAAGATCTTCATTTGTGTTCTAAAACAGCATTCCTCATTTCTAAAACAGAATTCTTGTGTAAGAAACAGCAACGAATGAAAGTCTTACAAGTTTGGAACGAGATGAGGATTTAGTAATTAATGACAGAATTTTCACTTTTGGGTGAACTAACCCTTTTAACAGAGTTCTTTTTAGCACCTTATTGGGCTTGAAAGGTCAAATACACACACTAACATGTCAAAATGCCCATCTTTGCGAGCAAGTGTTAAGTGAACAGTTGAGAAAGAAAATGCATGCTTTTCAGTATATTACACTAATAACAATCTCTCATTGCTCTTGACTGAATCACTTTTGTAACTTTAATAATAAATTTAATTTACACAGCGAAGACTATGCACTGTTTTTGTACATTTGATTACAATTTATGTATGGTTTCTATAGGCCCATCTAGGGCTTTATGTTTTTCAGGCAGGTCTATTTCATTTGTGTCTTTGTTCTATAATAATTTAATTGTCCTAATGCTTGTAATTAGATTCTTTGTTCACATTTTATGTTAGTTAGGCTGGTATTAGTTTTTTTGTGATATTGTATAATAGATTTTCATAAATCTGATCACCAATTTCAATATCACAAAAAAAAAAAAAAAAAACGAAGAAACTACACAAACACATTTATACCTGGCACAACAGTGAAAGTGGTTCCTGGTGGATACTGTGACCCCAAAGAGCTGATAAACGAGGTGTTGCTGTTGAGATTCTGTGGTGACGCCACAATGTAACCCTGTGATAATGATCATATAAAAATGAAATGATTTAAATTAATAAAGAAAGATTCAGTATCCTGATCAAACAGCCCAACCTATGAAAACACATCAATAAATTCAAATTCATGAATGATTATTAATAATTGGTAAAATTTTACTTCAGTGAGCGGAAGCCTATGGCTACTATGGACTAAAAGAAACTCTATAATTGTGCTTAGCATTTATTCAGCACAAATAATAGATTTAGATTACAGATTTTACCTGAGAAAAATCAGCAAAGAGTTACCTGATTGTTAATGATGATGGGTTGAGGGGCTGTTTGAGGTCCTAGAGTTGTGTTGAGAGGGATGAGGATGGGGTTACCACCTGATGGGGCTGAGCCTCTGACCATGAGTGTATGACCTGTAGCCAACATTGCAGGGTTCGGCAGGGTTTGGGGAGTCTTTTGTGATGCTGCCACCATCGAGGGGTTTTGAACCGGGACATTTCGCTGGTTCTGTTGGTTAACGGCACCTGAAGATCATAAGGAACACAATGATAAACATCTCAAGGACAAGAACAGATCGGAGGTGTCCGCATCAGGATGCCAAAAAGCTGTACCTGGTCTTGTACTGGCCGCAGGCTTGGAGCTACAGATTTCACCGACAAATATTGGTTCATCATCATCATCCTCGTCATCAACCAGATCTATTAGATTGATTTCGGGTACTGCCTTCTGCCACGGCTCCAACTCCTCCTCTTCACATTCCATAAACAGCTCAGACATCTGAGAAGAAACAAAAATTATCAGGGCAATGTTATGTGGTTAACGTAATCACATCAACTACCGACAAAATACATTATAACATACCAGGACACTTACACCTTAGCTAATGCTTGAGAGTCCAGTAAAGCTAAGATGCTATGAGTTGAAACCAATTTATCTTTGCTGCACACAGGACATAGACTATAGTTATCTAAACTTAATTAATGTAAAGTTTAGATACCCAATTATAGTGGTGCAAAACCTGTGATCCACCTCTAGCATGCATGCACGATATTATTATCGACTGTTACTGCGGACACAGACCGGCTAAAATGCTAATTCAGATCCCCAAATTTCACTCCCAGTCCCAGATATTACTTAAAATCAAAATGCAGTCAAGAAATAAGTGCACAAATGCTAAGAAATCAGAGACATTCACACATAGACTTTCTATTTAGCACATTATTCAGAAATCTGTTAGCAAGCAAGTCGGCTGTCTGGATGCTAACAGGCTAAAAGCAAGAAAAATAGCAAGCGGATGCATAGAGAAACAGCAAGCCGCACAGGAAATGTTCACTGGGTTTATGATAACACAGAGGCAAACATTGCAGATTAAAAAACGAAACTCAAACTTACCTTTTAAAATCTCGAAATATTTACTAACAACATCAGTGTTGATTCAGACAGACACGCTCACCGCGGCATGAAGCGCGGAGACTCATGGGAAATCAGAGGGGCTATTGTTGAGAAACCAGGAGGCTCACGTCTCCCACAGAACCTAGACTTTATTCAACTCTTCGAAATGTCTTATATTAAGAATACAGAACATTAAGTAATTGTGTGCTGAGAAGAAATGAAACTATAACTACTACATGAATGAGTCAGACGATATAAACTAGGCCAAAACAAAGACAAACGCCGTCTACGTGCTACATGAACACGTTCTTTAGTGATTTTAAGACTTGCAACGTGATACGTTATACTAAAATGAACAATCAAGTTTCGAAATAATTCAAGGAAACTAATGGATGTTGTAAAAACAACTAATATTAGAATAACGTCAGAAAAGCGTCGTACCCAGTAGTTTGAGGCAAATAAATGGTGATTTAACAGAATCATAAAGATAATACTATATGAGTTCAATTTGACTATAGCAACTTCACCAGTCTTGTCTCGCTTCTGTTTGTTTTGACCAACAGGTGGCACTATGAGTATTGAGATGGGCTAGGAGGAGCATGCCCTTTATAAACAATGAATGTCATCATCACCAACACATGATAGGCTACATCTCGTTCTTCCATTCAGAAAGTTAAGAAATTGAGTTTTTTGAGATTGTTTTTTGTTTTTTGGATGGCTTATATTTTTCAACTGTAACTCTGTGCACCTTTTGTTCTGGACATGCAATTGGTCTGTGACATTCTTTTTGTAGTTTCTTGAAAGTTAAATATCTGTGAATGAACTTGATTACAATTGGTTAATGTTTGGATGTATGGCGTAAACTATTTCCCCCTGTTCCCTGTATTTATGAAGTAGCCTATACTTTCTAGTTTTACTCAATATCAATATTTTGGATAGGCCTATCGGTGAATATCCTATTATTATTATTATTTTACAATAAATATTAAACACATTGTAATTTACAGCATACAAACAGCTATCATGTGTTGTAGTTCAAGTCATGCACTGTTAGTACTGAGGAATCTGCCATTTATTTGCATTAAGTTGCTGTTTGTTTTACAGCACATTTTCAATAGTGTTTAATTAGGCTACTCTTATATTGACAAACCAGGAAGACTGTTTTTTCATTTTACATATGCTCAGATTGAATATGCCTCTTCTCACATGTAAACAACAGTATTATATAGTCAATTATGGTTGTAAAAATTGTATGCAGATTCATTTATCTTTAAATATGAAAATTAGAATATTAGAGTTGTTTAGAATCTATTTGAGAAAACACACGAGTCCAAAATTAATAATAACAGCAATAACAGCAATAATATTATTATTTAAAGCAATCATACTTTTTATTATTTCTCATATCTTTTTGTTTTTCCATAACTTGTCACATCATAACTTATCATACTTAACACAAACAAACACATATATACTATATTTTGCAGTATTATTTATCAGTTTCTTATGTTGTTGCTCTATAGCCTATTCTTGATGTTCCAGTATTGTGGCTGACTGTGTTGTTCTTGTGCCTGCTGTGGCAACATTTAGAATACCAATTCAGATGATGAAGAAAAAAAAAGTGTGGTGATCAAAGTTAGGTCTAGTTGTAGCTATAAGGTTTGAAAGGGGGAATAGCAATGTCCATATGTCGACATAGTTTTGGTAAAGTGAGCACAAGTTCAAACAGTCTCCATGTATGCTGCACTTGTTCCTGCAGAACACTTGACTTAATGCAGCTGGAATTATGTAATCCATGCTTCAAATATACTCAATTTCTCCTTTTACTAATAATACACACACCAAACAAAGCCTACATTTATGTGAAGGGAGTTGTGTGGTAAACCAAACTGATTTTAGGAGGTGCTCCAGTGGTCCATTACTCCCCTTGCAAGGTTGTATGATTCGCCACACATGATATTCATCCGCACCGTTGAAGAACGCTCAAGTCTACGGCTCTGGTGGAAGGATACAATTTCGAGCGTCATTGTTGTGATTCGGTTATCGCCAAGCAAAAATGTCTGCCTAAGGGAAACTCGCAAGTTACATAGTGGATATTTGCAAAATTTAATCGCAAAAGATACCGATTTCATTATCTTTCCGACCCGAAACAAGGAAGCCTTCGCCGTCATCGGCACACCCGATCGCCCTAGTTGGAATTTTGACAGCAGAAAAGGTAAAATATTGCACAGACTTTCTGAGGGGGTTTGGACCGGGTGAAAGAAGTTGGGATGGCAGAAAAGACGGGAGCCGATATAAAGGGAACGGGGTCGGCATATGCTTAAACACTTCAGCCTGACATCGCACTGTTAATTGTCCGTGTTAAAATTAGTGTTTTGTCAGTGCTTATGGTCGATTTTCGCTTAATCTTTTCATGGTCGCACCATTATTATGAATAGGTAACTGGCAATTTGCAAACAACAACAACAGCAGCAACGTTGTTTGTAAAGTAACCATTCTCCTTTAACACAACAACAACAACAAAAGTGTGTAGCGGCAGATGTTTTGACAGCGCGTGTGCTTTCATTATGAGCTCGTGACTTTTGATAGATTGAGGAATCAAACGCATGCAGTTGAAAAATGATGCTGCGGGTCCATGTGTGTGTGTGTGTGTGTGTGTGTGTGACACCATCGAGCAGCGTCTTTCTCAACATGTCCACGTTTGGTCATCCTAAAAACCTTATCAGGCCCGCTCTATTAAATTAAAATATAACGTCTTTCCACCGTGTCATGTCACGTCATGCGCTTGCTATTATTAACACAGAAATGCCGTAACCTCGTCTAAAGCTGTCAATAATACGAAGCTGGGGAAAGGAGGTCTTGGGACTGTCTTCAGGAGCTTTTTATTACTATTTATTGAATAACACATAGGGTTTTATTCAAGGACAACCAGGTCCTTCGATTGCCCAGGTTTGTACCAAGGTGTTGGAAGATCGCAAAGTTATGCTAAAGACTGAGATGGGGATGTTTAGCAAATGTCAAGCTGCGGATGTTCACCGATGTCATTTGCATAAGCTGTGCTGGCTAGCATGAAGCTTCAGCGCACATCAGGCTTTCAGATTGAGGGGAATGATGTTTGTGTTTTGTAGATTTAGTAAAGGATCGTAAGGATGAACCCTCAGCAGCGGATTGCCGCTATCGGGACGGACAAGGAGCTGAGTGATCTGCTGGATTTTAGCGCGGTAAGACACTCATCAATGATTTTACTTCTAACTTTTGCCATTCGTTCAGTCTCTCACTTCTAAGATATGCATGATTAGATATCAAGTATGACTTTTTATATATAGCTAAAGCCTATATGTATACTTTTATTTTTCCACCAAATTAAATAAAAAACAAGTTTTTACACTTTTATATATATACATTCTCCTGGCTATTTGCACATTAATTACATTGCTACTTTGGGATCAATAAAATATTCATATTTAATATTCTTATTCATTAAAACATGAAACACTCTGTGCAATTTTAGTACCTCTTCATTTTTGTGTCTTCCCATAGATGTTTTCTCCACCTGTAAACAGTGGGAAAAACAGGCCGACCACTCTTGGGAGCAGCCAGTTCAGCACATCAGGTAGGACTTCCCGTGGAAATCCTTTAATGAAAGATTGTCTTCCTCTCACACTGTCCAGTCACCTCCTCTTGATTCCCAGTAAAGTCTTGTTGCTGTTGATTATAGGGATGAATTTCATCCCAAGGTGTTTTTGATTTTGATTTGTCTTGATTAATAAGAAGCAGGTAAGAGAAGGGTTCAGTAATGGTCTTTGAAATCAGATACATCCACTGTTATAATTACACTGAAATGAAAGGCACCACTGTTGTTAACTTGTCATGGCTGGTAGTTCAGTTTTTTTTTTTTTTAAATTGCATACATTTTTGTTTTTGTCTCCTTGGACTCCACATACAATTCTGACTGTCTTGTGAATGAAAGGTGAAACGTAGTTCTGTCTAAAATTGAAGCTGACCAAAATGTGATTTTTTTCTTTAGTTTCTTATGAGAGTGATATCTTCTTCTGCTTCCTACACACGTTACCTAACTAAGTGCTCAGTTGTTTTAAACCTTTATAGAGCAGCTAACTTGTGTGTGTGTATATATATAAATTTATATATATATTTTTTGAAAAATAAACCATTAAATGGCACTTTCTGGAGAGTTTTGTGCAAAGAAATATAGGAAAAAGTAGGTCTAGCAAGTATATTTCTGTAATTCACACAGATCAAACACAAATGCTGACTGAATAGATTGCTAGTTTATTTTGAGTATCGTTAGCCAGCTAGCAGTTCTCTTGGCAGTTTGCTGATAATCCGGTGTCTGAAGTAAAATGCTCAAAACATCTCCTGAGAAAAATCACATGGTCAACCTAGTCTTGGTTATTTAATTTTGATTTAGTCTTATTTTCCTTACCTTGTCATTCAAGGCCAGGGCACTTTTTGTACATTTCTGGAACTTTTGCGCGCTTCCACATCCCGCGCAACTACGGGTCTCCTAGGAACATTCATTATATATTGCTGTACATTTATCCGTGTCACCTAGATGCGCATGCGCGAGCGATCATGGTCGACTGACAACGAGATTAAGCAGCTGAACAAGAATACGGCCGTGTTCCGATTGTTCTCTTCTCAGCTCCGCCGAGACAAATTAGACATGCCATTTCAAAAATCTTTCATTTATTGTCAGAAATATGTTTTCAAAAGCATCACTTTCATCAAATTTTATGTGACATAATTTCCAGTAGGCAACTGACTGCAAACAGGCACATCAGGACACAAACGAGCAGGTTTATGTGCCGGGGCTGAGTACCGGAGAGCCCCGGCCCAATTTAACCACTGTATATATATGTGTGTGTGTGTGTGTGTGTGTATGCACAGTTAAGCAGACAGATCACTAGCTTTTCTATAGGTTCAGATGCATGTATGTGATAGTCTGTTTATATATATATATCTCCTGTCATAGGTGACTAAACGTTGCTGTAAAGATCATCTATTGTCTAATGTGCCGTAGAAGGAGGAAACAATCAAGCATTATTCAATCTCAATGCTTGTTTTATGTAAAGCAACAAAGCAGAGCCCTTGTTACACTCATCTGCTGTCGAGGACACACTTTTAGTGGATTACTGAATAGCAGCACAGCCGAGACTGCAAGATGCTTTTGTAAACCTTTTAATAAATGAAAAGTTTACGTATGTGATCTTGTAATCAGTTTTTGGCTCTGATGTGCTGTGATGTTTTTTTAAGGGATAAAAACATCTCTTATTTGTTTGTTGCTCCTGACACATCTTACTCAACGCAGCAGTGTTTCAGAGACGGTTTGGAAACGCTGTGGGGCGTTATTTCAAGCACTGTCAGAGATTTGTGTTTGTGAAGCATCAAGATAGTAGAGAGAAGCCATTTTGCTGTATCCATTTATAGACCCCTTTTCAGTTAGTAAACATGGTGACGTTTTTTTGTGGGCGGAGCTTAGGTGGAGGCAGAACGATTCCCCTCGCCGCTTCACTAATGCTAGTTTGCAAGTTTTGTTAGCTTGTTTTTTAACAATGACTGGAGAAAATCAGATTTTATCTTAGTGTGTAAGGTCACTCACTGTCCAGGAGGACCGCGATTTGTTATTTGCAAAAGTTAATTTTAACGGACGGAACCAGATTGGTCGACCCGTACACTCACACTCAATGGATGGACGATCTGACAGGATTAACATTACCTCGGTTGAGTGGCCTGACATCTACACCAACCTGATAGAGAAACCAAGCATAAAGAGAAACTGAGGGCATATAAATCTTTAGATGCCTATAACTATGTGCTGAATGGTCACGCACAAGACTTGTGTTGTGGGGTACGATCCGAAGCTCTGCCTAGTCGGCGCCAAGGCCAGAAGACGACCATGTAAAGAGTGACATTACAGTGCAATTTTAATGATGTGAATATTTTCTAGAAATAAAAATTCCAGATACAGCAAATTCATTTTTTAACTATGTATTTGATTATTCTTTCTTACCAGGTTCTTCAAAAAGCCTTGTCACAATCAAACACAACAATGTAGGCTATACAATCATAGATGATTCACAAATAATCACAATAGTTTAGAAAACATTATGCAATAAAATTTCAAATTGGAGCCTGTACTCCGTCGATTCTTGCACCCAACAACACAAGAAGATGACATTTAATTATAATAATAATATTTTAAGCTCCTTATTATGTAGCCGAATCAGTGCTGGTTTGTATTGGCCGCCTCCAGTTTTCCCTTTGTTTTGCCTCCAGCTAACACCGTGATGTAATTGTGACGTCTGCGCAAAAGGGGTCTATATGCTAGATAATTCAAGCTTGGCATTCCTGATTATCAGGTGAACTATATCAGGAGGAAATATACACCTTATTTTTCACGTAAGAGCATTTGTAAATTGAATGTTTCTGGCTTCCAGTTATTTTTAGCTGTACAAAACAGCTTCTTATGCTGCTTAATATTTTAATGTATTGTATTAATTATAAACATACTGGTTTGTAGCACAAGCATTTTCACTGTTTAGTTTACTGCACTTTGTTACTTTTCTTTCTATTTCTCTATAGTATCTGGTAGTATCTGGGGCGGCAGTGGTTCATGTAGGTTGTCTGGAAACCGGAAGGTTGGTGGTTCAATCCCCGGTTCCACCTGACGAAGTGTCGAGGTGTCCATGAGCAAGACACCTAACCCCAGCTGCTCCCAACGAGCTGGACGGCGCCTTGCATGGCTGACACCGCCGTCGGTGAATGAATGGGTGAATGCGAGGCAATATGTAAATTGCTATGGTGGCCGTGGCCATGGGTCACGCACATTCACAGAAAACAGCTTACTTCCACGTTGAAAAATAAGGAGGATAGGCTCTAAATAAAGAATTTAAAGGAATATTTCCAGTTCAGAACAGCATTTATGGCATAATGTTGATTAACACAACAATTATTTTAACTTACCTCTTTGTTTCTTGTTGGTTACAGGAAGGTACTTACAATGGAAGGGAATTGGGCCAATTTGTAAGCGTAAAAATGCTCACTGTTTCTATAGTTATAGCAACAAAACATGAACACTATAACATGATTTTAGTTTGAAAAAATCACTTACTAAGAGCCGTTCACACAGAAAGCATTTTTGCCTTAAATATGAACGCGAGACGCGGGCAGTGGAGCGCAAGGTCTTAAAGGACAAGTTCGGTATTTTACACTTAAAGCCCTGTTTCAAGATCGTTTCTGATTAAATAGAAAGGTTAAGATTAAAATTTGGAAACATGCTGCTGTCCCGAGAAATTTCGGTTTCTGTGGTCGCACCCCCCCCCCCCCCCCACCTCCACAATGGTTGCATAGGTGCACAGAAACAATCCTTCCTTGTTTTTGTCCAACTCCATTTGACTTGACTTGGACAAAAACTACAATAAAACCTGTTGGAAAGCATCTTTTGCAGCGATTTTTGTGTGAGCATATCAGTGAACACCCCTGACCACTCGGTGAGTTTCACGTCTTTGTAAACTAAAGTTTAATGCGTTTTAGGAAGGTTTGTTTCTGTGCACCTATGCAACCATTGTGGAGGTGGGGGGGGTGCGACCACAGAAACCGAAATTTTTCGGGACAGCAGCATGTGTCCAAATTTTAATCTTAACCGGTCTATTTCATCAGAAACGATCTTGAAACAGGGCTTTAAGTGTAAAATACCGAACTTGTCCTTTAAGACAAGTTTTTTAAAAGTTGAAAAGTTAAACTAATTTTAACTTGAGCGCCGCATTTCACTTCATGCAAAAGATGCAAGACGCGAGCTAAAGGTTATACATGTCCGTCTAGCGCATTTTACGTAGAAAATCAATGGAAAAGTAGTGCATTGGAATGGAAAAACTCTTATTGTGTAAAGTTATATCCAGTTTTTCAACTTTGTTGTAATCACAGCTCAAATACTATTTTTAACAGAAGAATAAACATTGTATGGAAATCAGCATTATAACAGAAATTATGTCAATTAAGCTCAACTTGTATTGAACCCGTATTGACTATTCCTTTGAAATGTCCATATCAGTAATTGGTATAAGAGATTTTGATAGTGTAAATGTGCAGTAAGGGTTTGGTCATGTTTCTCGCTAATCTGTCAGACCTTTGTAAAGAGCACTCCTTGTGTGGGAACGCTGTGATATGCCCTCTGTTTCATCCACAGCTCGGAGAGGCATGTATCACCTGTCTGATAACAAAATTCTCTTTTGTTGTCTCCTACACTGTTATTTCTCATGTCGTAGCCGCTGTGTGATACAGGCATGCTGCATTGTGCAAAGATAAATGTCCTTTGGTTTTTCCAGAAAAAAAGCTGTTGAAACAGACCCACCAAGAAGCATTTAAAACTAACAATAGTGGAATAGTGCCATCAGAGGATATTTCTGCAAACACAACTCTTCCTCTGTTAGACCTCACCCAGCGCCTCTTCGTGTGGGAGGCAACACTTCAACTAATTGCAGGTCAAATCAGTTCATAAATTGTATTAAATGGTTGCAAATATATATACTACCATTCAAAAGTTTGGGGTCAGTACAATTTAAAAAAAAAAATTAGTACTTTTATTCAGCGAGG